CTCTCCGAGCAATTCAAGCGAATACGTGTAGTATTTATCCAAGGATTCTTGTAAAATGATATCTCAATATAAACTTAGACAGGTTGCCTAGATTTCTAAAGATACAAAAGGCTATAAAAGTATAAATTCGTATAAACATTAGCAGTCCACTTATTAGAAACCCAAACTCTAGCAGTATCTGACAAAGAGTAAAGCATATTCCACATATTTAAATAAACCGTAGTCTCCTGTATATTTTAAGCAATATTTTCAGCAATATTAAAAAAATCTTGTATGCATGTAACGAGATTAATCAACGAAGCGACTATTGTATAGCTAACTACAGAAAAGACACTTGATATGTAATATACAAATGTTGCATGGCACAATAGAGGTAATTGTGATGTCACTGACGAATAGTACCCGTGCGAGTAGAGAAGCGCCGGTTCAAGTAGAGTGGTGGTATGGGGTTCGCGGTTAAGGGGGTGGCAAAGAGAACTCGAGGACATCGACAGGAAAAGCGGGACACGCGCTTTCACCATTTCGCATAGCGAAATGGAAGAGCAAACGCTATAATGGGGTAGCAACGAGCCCCAGGAGTCCTCTTTCTTTGCTCCCTTGCTCGAGCTCTCTTCTCGTCTCACTTTTCCGCCGGATAGTACGCAAAATATTCTTCCCTCTTGCTCAATCAAAATACACATATAGCGAGATGGATGCACAAAATCATGACATGGATTTGTTTTTGATTGAACTATATGTGTACGTCCTAAACGTCATGCTTGTACGGATCAGATTAATTACAACATAAAGGGTTGATTTCGTAGCGAATACCTAAAATCGACTTTCAGGAGATTCGTAAAATTATTCAGAAAAGTAGATGTTTGACACTTGGTTAAAGATAGGCGCGTATTCTTTCGAAAGAAATTCTTTTGTAATCTCTCTACAAATATTGCACGACACGTTCCTCTGTGATGCTCAAATTCTTCCATTTGTATTACATCGTGCTGACGATTTACATTCTTCCGTTCACGTTGTCTTTTCTTATCGAATAGTAGAGAAGTTCTTACAACAGGAATATCTATGTGAGATACGTGTTATACAAATCTTGTGAATTAATTATTTGGATAAAGAATAACTGGCTATCGCTGAAACGTTAAGCAATATGTTTCCTTACAGTAAATCTAAGAAACTTCTAAGGAGAAGTCTAAGAAACTTCTCACACAGTAGCTCTCGATTTCGTACTTTTCTTGAAATTGCAGAGTTTCTTGCTACACTTGAAGTATCAAAATTGTATCAAAGAAACTAGAATGTAAGATACACGAACAAATACATAGGGAGAAAAACAAGTTTTGACTCGTATATTTTATCCATATGATTGAGAATCATTGAAATCTCTTCTTCTTCTTTCTTCCCTAATTCTTCTTTCGAATAATAACATTTCAATGAACATCTTTATGACGATTACAATATTCTGTTTGAAACAACAATATCTCTATGGAAAATAACGAATTGCCCGTTTTGATCATTTTAGTAACAAACGCGAGTGGGTGAAAAATGTGTCAAAATTTGTATCACAACTGATTTTTATGAAGTTCTTTTCTCAAAGGGGAAGATGAATGATGCACACGGCGTTAAAAGAAATATATATGTCAATGCGTAATAGAGTAGATACTTACAATGGGTGAAATGAAATTATCGTGACTGACCTGGTGTAACAATTACGCTATTCAAAGTATAAGTAGATCGAGTGTTGACAAGAAACCGGTCGGATAATCGTAGGTGCGAGTTCCGATATCAGAGAGATGAAAAAAGCCGACGGTAATCCTTGCCGACTCACACAACTACGCGGTTCTTACATCGAAAAACCGACCGTTCTCCCCTTCAAACAACGTTTTCTCCTCTGGGATTTCCGATAGACTTTTTTTCGGATGTAAAAGTTCAAGTGTATACAACTTTGGACGGTTAAAAATCAAACAGTTGCAAAGAAATTGGCTTTTCACCTATTACATCGAGCGGATTAATTTCCTGTTGGATGGCAAACTTTTTCGTTTTATTATTCTGGTGTCTTTGTATCTTCTATTTTATTTTTCAGTTTTAAATCTTTGGAAATGAAATTTTCTTTTAACAATACATTACAAAAAAAATTTATCAAAAGAATACGTGGAAAGATCTGTCGAAATTGAAGCACGCATAATGCCGTAGCGTTTGGAATTTATTCTTCTTTCTGTTTCGATGACAATCTTCAACGATGAAATGTCTGTCGATAAGATTTAATAATGTTTTATGCTTGTTTATCGTGCATTAAGTTTCATCGACAATTATGCTTAACATGGCAAATATTTGCGATTCTGACGAACGATACGTGTACGCGCATTGTCGAAAAAGGAATGATATTCGAATATTTATACATAATTGACTTTCTTCTTGTTATTTACAAATGTTATTCACCGATTTGCATATATTAATTATTGTTTTAAAACAATAGGAGTGTACCTACAAGGTATTGTATAAGTATAAGGTATGCCCTCATTTTCTTTGAATTTGTGCAAAATTATCGATGACTTCGATTAAATTGTGTTTTCTATAGTCTCTATCATGACCAATAAGAATGCTAATAAGGATTACATGTTTATACAAATTCGTACTTTTATGAAACTAATTTAAAAAATAGAACCTAAACAGGGACTTGGTTTATCCATTGAATATTATAAGAAGTGGCATACCTTGAATATTTTATACTTAAACTTTTGCACGTTATATGCATTTTGTTACATATTAGATCGCCCGAAAAGTTTCTTTCGCTTTATAAGGAAATAATGGATACACAACATTTTCCGTTTTATATTATTTTATCAAATTACGTATGATCCATTTTGTTCTATCAAGATAAAGATCACAACGTTTAATAGATTAGGTTTCATGTTTGTATGCATTGTTGTAAAAGACGTGTCTATAAAAGACAGACACTTTCCGGACAACCTAATACTATATTAACATATAACATATAATCATTGTAAATAATACGAAGTATAGGAAAATAGGATCTACGAACTGATACGAAAAATTCGCCAAAGTTGTATCATTATAGTTTTCAAATTAATATCTGTAAGGAACTTCTTCTTCTTCTTCTTCTTCTTTTTCTTCTTCTTCTTCTTCTTCTGCTTCTGCTTCATCTTATTTAGAAAGGCAGTATAAATCATTCATAGAATCTTCTTACTTTGTGAAACTCTTCCATAAAATGTTCTTTTTATCAAATTTCCAAAAATAGACTATGCGTAAAACGCATTTTATATTTGCGACGGGGATCGTTTCATTACTTCACTATCATTACCGCGAAAAATTTTAAATGCTCATAGGTGCACGATAACGATCGAGCGCAATCTGAGCAAGAAATTCGACGTGTCATAATATATTGTTCTAATATTTGAACAGCTATGATACCTATGTATATAACATATCTTTCAACCCCATTCAAATATACAATACCCAAGTCTCCATTTTCCTCCACACATAGTTAATACTCTTCAAAAATCGTAATAATATAATCTTAACAAAAAAAGAGGAAATTTGAAATTAGTGGCTTTTATAAATGGCTTTTATGCAATCAAACTTTGTCAGGTGTATTCTACGGGTACCTGTAATCGAGTAAAAGATGTTATATCTAGACGTCATTTAAAGCTTTATTGAAAAGTTACAACAAAAGTACGAAATATAAAGAGAGAACAATACCTTGGTCTCAAATAGCATCGCTAATTTGATAACATCGCTGATTTGGCTCTAAAATCAAATAAATAAAATCTTGGGACATTTCTCATAAAGGTGAAGTTGTTGTTTTTATAAAGAATACTTTTTAAATATAGTGACTTTAAATTTTCATTTTTTGAGAATTTAAACTATTACGATTTTTAAGTGCCTGCGGTACTTGTGGAAGAAAACGCAGTATCAAATTTGAGTATTACATGTATGGCAGTAGAAATTAATTTCTCTTTGGCACAAACGAAGAGTTACTATACAGTAATCTCGGTGATTTGGTGCCAGCCATGCTGTATCCATGTATATACCATCGAAAAGTCTAAGGTCGAAGCTTATTCGTGATGTCTCGAAGGCCTCGAGCACTGTTATCGAGGAGTGGTGGATTAACGTGCACGCCTTTGATCTCGCCGGCCACCGGCCTTATCTAATCGTTTTCCTTTCTCCCGTTGCGTCTCTTCACGCCCTCTCCGTCAGTTTCGCTGCGTTTCAGTTTCCTTCTCATTTTGTATATTTCGTACTCTGGTGTATAGTAATCGTTTTCGAATGCCACGTTGAATTCGCACCATCAACGACGTAGACTTATCGGTATCTTCTTTCTCGCCCATTTTCTTCAAATTCTTCGTCGCTATATAGTAATGAACCACAGAACGTTCTCTGTCATTCATATACAATGGCTCGCTAAAGTATTTGAACGCTTACTGTAGGAAACGTCTAAGTATTACGCCTGATTAAGCTTCCAAAAAGATTAATTACAAGCTAAATTGATATGCCTGCCACTGCATGATGTAGACAATGTAACCATTTGATATTAGATAAAATTTCTTCTCCTTTAGTGTTCTAACTGCATTAAAATTAAACTTACATATTTTTCCTAATTTTGTGAACATTCTTTATTAACATTTTATGCAAATATGGACTTTTTATATGTATTACTTTTTAATGTAATCTTTAATCTTCCTATAATTGAATACATGATAATTTCCATCGAAATTTCGGACGAGTATTATCCATTTTGAAGTTACGTCGTGATTTATCGTTCTTTCGAGGTTTCCTTCGCACGTGTCATGTGTAGCGAATAGTTTTTTCGAAAATTATTATAAATCATGTTTTACTTACATTACTAATGGGCTTCAGTACGAGATGTGTCTACTTGTATGATCGTCAAAAGCGTTATCTTCGTTATACGCGTTATTGACAAGAGAATTAGGGAAGCAGATATTAAACGTGTAATAATGTCGATCTTATCTTCGCCTTCTTGCTTTTTACAGGAAAAACCCGAACTAAAGACAAATACAGAGTGGTCTACACAGATCATCAGAGGTTGGAGCTTGAAAAGGAGTTTCACTATAGTCGTTACATCACAATTCGCCGTAAAGCTGAACTCGCCGCTAATCTTGCGCTCTCAGAACGTCAAGTGAGTAATTTACAAAAATAATAGATACAAATATTTGCGATATTAAAATAAAACGCGACTTGCGGGAAACGGAGAGTTTGTAAGAATAAAGAGGCAGGTTCGACACCTAAATTGTATTTTTTAAGGAAATAGTACTTTCTATCAGACTATTAGATAGTATTGAACTTATTAGTATAGGCTGTATACGTATACTTAGCATATGATGGTATCTGATACCATCATAGATAAATACAATTTTCTTTTTCAAATTATATGTTCAGCGTATCTAAAGAAACTTATAGATTTTATATTCGATTTTATAAACGCACGAAAAACTATTACTATAAATATTACATACATATATAGTGGACTATATATGAATTTATAGTACGTTTAGGAAAGTCGCATAATTTTGATTGATTTTGATTTTGCTGGTTCCCTGAAATTATTGTAACATGAAGCCGCCTTAATCATTTCTCAATACATAATAATCGGTGAAGTCGTTAAAATTTATCTAACGTCTAAACACAAGCTTAATTGGATCAGTAGGCACTAGTGAAATAAAACTGCATTTGTATTGTCGCAATATTCTTGTAAAATATTTATTACTTGTATTTCGAAAGACCTAGAAAAATAGTTTCGAATCTTCTATTCTTAAATATTACTCAAATACGTGTTCTATCTCCCGACTATATTCCTAGACACACAATCTAAAGGTACATTCTTCTGTTACAGGTCAAAATCTGGTTCCAAAACCGTCGCGCGAAAGAACGGAAACAAGTTAAAAAGCGCGAAGAACTCGAAAAGAAAGAGTTAAAAGCGGCAGATGTAGTACCAAACAGCCCGATGGCCAGCCTAACGATCGGAGGGTTGGCAGAAATGAGTGGAATGCTTGGTTACGAACCTAATCCGCCGTCTCCTCGTCCCGGACCATCATCGCATCCACTTCTTTGAGGCGCGACAGCTGTTGTCCACCCAAGCAGCCATACCGATTGGCGGTGGGGTTGTGACCTGGTGCCGGCGATCACAGAAGCTTGGTCCGGCGACAGCTAATTCCGGAAGCTCCACCTAACGCATGCTGGTAAGAGGACGCATAAATTGGTGTGACCGGTATCAAATCTTCGCGAAAAATTAATTACATTGACTAATAGATTAATGTATGAGACTTTTCTTTTATCAGTGTTTAAATATATAGGAGGATATTTAAATAATTTGAAACAAAATGTGATATTTTTGAGAAAAAGACTTATAATAGCTGGAATATCGTGGTTACAAAGAATAATAACTAGAATATCGTGGTTACAATAGAATAGATATTTGAAAATGTTTGTGGAATGTAGAATTGATGAATGACATGAAATGGTATAAAAAATCGAGTTTATATATAGAATGCGGATTTTTATGTAATTTCATGGAAATTCTGTAAATACTTTTATGACAATATTTTATAATAAAATTTTAATGAGAAATGCGTACAATATGTAGCGATAAATATATTTATAACGTTAAATATGATATTCATTAAGTTGAATTTAATTCTTTCTTCGTTGATTTCGTTGACTTCACAATCTTTATCTGTAATTTTTATACTCTTATGAAACATTGAAAGAGAAGCAATCGTTTATGGTAATATTTTACAATAACATTTTATTAAAAAAATTTTCCTGATAAATGAAATCAAATTTCATTCGATAGAAATGAGTATCTCATCAGGTTCCTAAACGATTTCGGAACAGATATTGAAATTTAAATATCTTTTAACGAACGATTTTTTCACGATTTTTTCACGACTTTTTCACGATCTCTTCTTAAAAAATGTGATAGAAATTTTCTATTACTAGAAAATTGAATAATAAGATGAAATCGAATAGTTAACAATGATTCAAAAAGCGTATAAAAATTAAGTTATAGTGAGTTATCTAAAATTTATTTATTTATTTATATAAAATAGTATGAAAATCTGCTGTTTAATTATAAAAATCAAAAAAGAACCTGTTGGAGATATTAGATTTTCGCATATTCTTTTTTATCCTTTTTATATTTGTTGGAATCGGATATTATACGTTCAACTCTCTACGTTTTGCATCTTTTATTAATTAAACAGCAGCTTTTAATACATTTGCATAACATTTCAAATTATAAAAACAAATTTATAAAAATTTAAAAATTTTAAAAATATACGACAAAATTGACAAAAAAAATGGCCGTAGTCTTTAATAAGGAAAAAAATCCTTATTTAATCAAAATTATAATGAATATCAAAGTTGATAATTAAAGTTAAATTTTTGTTTGTACGCATAAATATGAATTTCCATATAAATCCGCATTCTACTTTTTATAAACAAAATTATTTCAATTTTCAACATACGGGACGGAATACAAAATTTTTATAAAATACTTTTCCGAAATATATCGTGCACAAATTTTTCCAAACGCTTTGCAAAGTATTGTTCGCACTTAATGCAAACCCTCGGTTATAATTAGTTCTTAGATTATCGAATGACAATCAAATTTCTGATATTTTACAAAACACGAATGATGTCAGAAACGTCCAACGTTTGCCTTAAATTACGAAACACTGTGAATATCGGCGTATTTGTGCACGTCGATTAATGTGTTGAATTACAGAATTCGAAAATTGTAATTAAGAGACCAGAAAAAAAAAGAAGATGATAAAAAATATATGTATATATATATATTATATTATATTATATTATATTATATTATATTATAAGGTTCCTAAACGATTTCGGAACAGATATTGAAATTTAAATATCTTTTAACGAACGATTTTTTCACGATTTTTTCACGACTTTTTCACGATCTCTTCTTAAAAAATGTGATAGAAATTTTCTATTACTAGAAAATTGAATAATAAGATGAAATCGAATAGTTAACAATGATTCAAAAAGCGTATAAAAATTAAGTTATAGTGAGTTATCTAAAATTTATTTATTTATTTATATAAAATAGTATGAAAATCTGCTGTTTAATTATAAAAATCAAAAAAGAACCTGTTGGAGATATTAGATTTTCGCATATTCTTTTTTATCCTTTTTATATTTGTTGGAATCGGATATTATACGTTCAACTCTCTACGTTTTGCATCTTTTATTAATTAAACAGCAGCTTTTAATACATTTGCATAACATTTCAAATTATAAAAACAAATTTATAAAAATTTAAAAATTTTAAAAATATACGACAAAATTGACAAAAAAAATGGCCGTAGTCTTTAATAAGGAAAAAAATCCTTATTTAATCAAAATTATAATGAATATCAAAGTTGATAATTAAAGTTAAATTTTTGTTTGTACGCATAAATATGAATTTCCATATAAATCCGCATTCTACTTTTTATAAACAAAATTATTTCAATTTTCAACATACGGGACGGAATACAAAATTTTTATAAAATACTTTTCCGAAATATATCGTGCACAAATTTTTCCAAACGCTTTGCAAAGTATTGTTCGCACTTAATGCAAACCCTCGGTTATAATTAGTTCTTAGATTATCGAATGACAATCAAATTTCTGATATTTTACAAAACACGAATGATGTCAGAAACGTCCAACGTTTGCCTTAAATTACGAAACACTGTGAATATCGGCGTATTTGTGCACGTCGATTAATGTGTTGAATTACAGAATTCGAAAATTGTAATTAAGAGACCAGAAAAAAAAAGAAGATGATAAAAAATATATGTATATATATATATTATATTATATTATATTATATTATATTATATTATATATATATATGTGTGTATTATATTATATATATATTATATATATATATATATCATATTATATATATATATACATATTTTTTTTAGTTATTTGTACATCATACTAGGTACTAGTATGTACTAAGGGGCCTCATAGAAGATCGTTTTTGTATATATATCTTAAAAATTTTTTAAATATCGCTTGTACAAATTAGACAAGCTAAGATGTTTAGCGTCGATTCTTTTAGTTCTTTTTTAATTTATCTTTCCTATAAAAAACTTGGATACTCCTTTCTATTTTCTTCTCTCTTCTTCGCCAATCGTAAGACAAATGAACGAATATTAGAAGAATGAACGGAAAATTCTTCGATCTTTTTTTCAAATTACTCTCGTTATATAGCCAGAACTTCTCTGTCGTAAATATGATTGTTAGGTTCTCCAAATACTTTCTAACGAAATGATCATTATGGCATGATCATAACGATAGATAGTTTTGGGCCACCTTATGTATATCTCATGCTTAACGCATATTTTAAAACACCTTTGTCAAATCTTAAGATGAGAAGTTACACAGATCGAAGATCTCATATTCGTTTTATCTCATCCATTTGTTCAGTTATACCAAATACATCAATAACATTGTATTAATGTACTTGTAACGTATCACCTCGTTACGAATTGTAAATAGAAAGGAGTTTAGCACGCTGACAACCCCTTTGGTACGCATTACGCGTACGCATTGCGCATTACGTCGCAAACGAAAAGAAAAGAAAAAGGAAATTAAAAACATTTCTCGTACGGAAAGTAACAAAATTCATGTGTAAATTGATCTTCTTTTCCAATCGCTTATTTCATGCAATTTTCTTTATACAATTTTACAGTACAAAAATATCGAATATATTAAATTTATGATATGATTCAGCACAACGACTTTAGAGAATTTTTAATTGTTGATAATAAAAAGCGACTTTCCGTCCCGTGTTATTATATGAAGTTTGAAAAATAAACTTTTTCGCTATAATAAGGGGCGTAATTTCTTTCTAAACAAGTACCATGCATTTTGATTAAATTCGGAATTGTTTATGAACTCATTTTGACATTAATACAAATTTGTGTTTTTACACTGTGTTAACATGTTGACATGCAGAAAACGACAGAATATGATTTTTACAGTGCAGATGTTCTTCTGTTCTCACCCTGATTAATAACAACGGTAAAATTAACACTTTCGTGAATTATAATGCAAGATATCTACCATCTAATATCGATTTTTCAATTAACAACAATAAGATTAATCTTAAGCATGTTTTTATACAAAACGAAGTTTTTCTTTATAATTTAATTATTCTTATTGATTATGTAGGACCGTGATACAGAAGTATCTTAATTAATTATCGACTGATTATTAATAATTTTATGAATTAATTAGATATTTATTGAATTATTAATAATATCACTATTAATAGTATTATCAATATTATTATTACTATTATTAATACTATAATAATCACTATTAATATTATCAATATTATTATTATTATTAATACTATAATAATAATAATAATAATAATTAATGTTGTTACTACTGTTATTTTTACTGTCATTATTATTATTTGAATTAATTATTTTCAAGCAATATTTCTTCTTACAAGCTTGTCTTTATATACTTAACTTTTAAGATAAAATTCACGAAGTGTATTGTTATTAATACTCATCGTTCCTAATTTTTACGTACCCCAATCTGAGAGAAAATTGTGTAGTTACACACGTGCCATATTATCCTAAATTCGCTAAGTCACACAAGTCGGGAGAATAGAGGATCGAAAAGTAAACGCGATAAAACACGAAATTTTTCATTTTTCATTCATCGGCTCATGCTATATACAGTGGTGAGCGTACGAATAGTTAAAAGAAAATGTTCACCCATAAATTCAATTAATTACGTCATAGAAAAACATAAAATAACTAAGTGTTCGATCATATCAAATTCGCATTTAGCAACCAATTCTGAAAATATCATTCAGAGGATAGAGGCTTAATTTGTCTTTCGAACGGCTCAATTATATTAAATTGCATTCGATTTAATATATATAAGAATTTTTTCTCCTATTTACATACTAACACCACTGTATGTGTGTGTGTATGTATGTATATATATATATATAATATATATAATAATTTATATATATATATATAATAATTTTTATATATATATATATAATATATATATATATTATATATATAAATTATCCCATTTATAAATCAGTTAAAATATCCTATATAGCATTTTCTTCACTTTCCAAAATGAAGGTATTAGCCCCTTATTTCTTACTTTCGAAATAGAGAATTTATATTATACAGAATATGAGATTTTTAATCAAATTCTAGGATTCTTGAAATTCTTCAAATTCTTCAGATTCTTCAGATTCTTAAGATGTTCATATAACAAAGATAGATATGATATTTGATTATATGAGGAGAACAATATAATAATAGTATAATTCTATAAAATTTACCTACCTACGTAGGTGAAACATGCCTTAGAACATAAGAAAAGTTAGCATGTATTGTTGTTTCTGATCATGGCCAATTTTAATCCTTCATTTTTATTACCATCTCGAGAATCCGCGTCTGGACTTGTTTTTCTTCTCGTCCCTTTTTCCACTCTTTTCGTGTTAACGCGTTTTATGCTGGCTTTACTGCTACACGTTTTGAGTTCATCGGTCCTGAATATTTCGAATTTTTAACGACAATAAAAGAAACGAACGATATTTGCGAAGAACAGAAAATGAAAATTTCCGCGGTTTTACGTACCGTGTACTTTTAAGAGTGTTTGCAAGCTTGTAATCTGTAATTACGACGTTAGTATAAATATAGAATGTGTATGCGAAGAAATGGCAAGATTAGTCGTAACGTATTCTACGGAAAATCTCATATGGTTTATGTGAAAATACATTTACGTAAGCATTTCTTAAATTATTCTATATAATAATTAATTATCATAATATATACTGTGAATGTTATATGATCGTTAAGCCTAATATTATTCTGATATGTGATCATTATACATTGGTCATTTCAAAGTACACGGGTATTACGTTCACAAAGTTTAGTAGGAGACATTTTATTCTTTAGCCAGTTTTAGATTAATTTCTTTCATTTCTCTAATTTCTTCAATTTTTGTAAAATCGTTAATTTTATTTCATAACCAAATTATTGCAACAAGGGGTCAGATAACGAATAGGATTGGAATATTTAAATTGTTTGTAATATATATGGCAATTAATACTGTTACACATTATTACACGGTATTAACAATATCTAATCGTATAAATACCAATTGCGTAGTCCAAATATTTGTTTCTTTTCAGACCAATTTATATAGGACCATTCATTTTTAACGATTGTCGTATAGATTAATAGTCTCTTCTCTAAAACTATTAAATTCCGTTATATTAAAACTCGAAGATCAGGGTCATAAAATGTAGAATGTAATACATGTACACCTTTAAATTGATATAAAAACGATCGTATGTTACAAGAAACATGTTTGTACACTCTTGGCACACGACTGACGCGATATTTGAGCTTGTACTCATTTATATATTGCTTGTTAACGGGAATTTGCAAATACGTTATAAATAAGTTAGAAATACAAATCGTTAACGACCGGTAATTACTGGAATTCTACTAAAATTCAACAAGGTCAATTTTCGATCGTGAAACGCTCTTGGAGATCGTCAAATCTGTAGAATGGTAACGTATCATTTACGACCTGACGATTTGTTTGCGATACAGAAAAGTTCCTTGGTTTGTCTCGACGACGGCTCTCGAATGGCTCTCGTTAGATCATACATAAATACAAGCATAAAAACGTGTAATGCGGTTTATGCGAATGGCCAGGCAACGCGGTAACCGATTCCAAAGTGTGTATTCAGTGAATACTGAGAAAGGGGGCAAATAAAGCAAGACGAGACGAAGCTGCGAAGGTGGCAACGAGTCCCATGGGAGCCCTCAACTTAACTACCAGATCGATGTCCAACCCCGACCACGCTTCATCCCCTGAAACCAACCCCTGCTGGCTTACACGCTACCAAGTACTCGTTCCCTCTCTTCTCTGTCCTCCATCTTCTACTCGTCATATTTGTTTTTTTTTTTCGTTCTTCATTTCTTTTTGTATATACATATATGTATTATTTCTTGCGTATTCCTTTTTTATGTTGTATTATGATTTTATATCCTTGTTCTTTTGAACAGTCTTCTTCTAAATATTGTTTATGTTTACGTGTACTTTTCCTCTTGATATGTTTGTTCGTCATCATTAGTTTACTTGACTTCGCTTTAGTCTATTTTATCCGTTTTTCGTCCTATTCGCTGTGTTTCTTTTCTATCTCTTGCGGTTACGATATTTTCCTGCTATTTTCCTCACAAACCTATCAACTGTAAGAAAAACATTACTTATGAGAAAATCGTATATATGACTAAACACTATGTATAAATATATGTACGATAAGTATTAAATACTCTTTAATATATTTAAATTAGCATATGTTTATCTCGATATATTCTCTACAAACCCTTTTAACTCAACACAACTTCAAACTATATACATGTTGCTTGCTTCCAACAACCTCTTCTCTATATGCCACAATATCTATGATTTACAATCTTTACTGCACAAAACGAGGAAAAAGGAACAGTCTAACCTAAAGATCTAAGCGTAGAAATCCAGGATTCCGTAAACTTCACTAAGCACACAAAGAAGTTAAAAAGTGCTTCCTCTTTCTTCAAAACTCACACATACAATTCTAATCATATAACCACAAGCTTTTACCATTCCCATACATACGTATATACGTATATACTAAGTTTCACAGTATCGCGCCATGAAATAGTAAAAATCAGGATCTGTAGAGGAAGATAAAAAAGGAAATGAAAGGGATGCGCAACGTCTTTGAAATTGTAAAGGTACGTCGGCGATCCTAACGTAATTGGACCCCGAGACGTAACAACGTTTCACGTATACCGAGAAATTCCGGGGGATAGCTTTTTGTTCGAGTTGCGTTTCGGTCCAGTCGGTCCAGTCGAAAACACCAAATAGATACTTTTATGGGGGGCTATAAAGTTCCTGAATCGAGTATCGATGGTTCCAAAGGGGCTAATCTGCGGATGAAAACTGTAATAAAACGTCCGACCTGCGTATGTATCTGAAATCCTTTTGCAGTAGTACGCGCCCTTACTTTGAGCGCTCAGGTAGCACCCTGACCTGAATATTTTCCTAAAGGAAAACATATACTGTTCCCCTGTTTTAGGTTAGTTTGAAATTTTACGAGATCATACACCTTGCGTTTCTATACGCTTATATACGTATAAATATGATATCGAAGTGACGTTTCCTTGATATAGAGCAAATCATAACCTCGGAATGACACTTTTGTATAACTTTAGATTATTTTAATTGTTTATAGCGTTATTCTGTATGATTTCGCTACATAATCACTTCTATTCTTGAACTGAAAATTTTAAAAACATTACTTTGGTTCTAAATGTTTCAAATGAGAAGAAATTCTATAATTTTTTAGGATTGCATACAATATATATACATAATTGATAAACTCACCGCTTTGAATTGCAAGCGGTGGAAAAATCCTATGGATCCACTGACTGTTTTACCCGGTCGGTATTTCAATTTCTCCGGTAAAATATCTCATATGAGATTTAAGTTTTTCATATCTTATTTACGATCAAATTTATAACAATACCTTTTTCCTATATATTGTTCCACATATTATTTTTGAGAAATAAATAAATTTTCATGTATTTAGTCCCAATTTTCTCCGCTATGAATGTTGTAATCTTATTCTGCGCTATAATCGGTAATGTGGAAAATGATAAAAAGATCGATATCACTAACGAGGTACAGAATAGATCTGATATTCAATACTTTTTGGTGTCATCTTTTTGACGGTCATCTGATGTTTCATACTGTTTCCTTATGAAATTAAAAATAATGCAGAGAACAGAACATTTTGCGCAATACGTATTTAACTTCTGCAATACGTATTTAATTGTACTCCAATCCCATTATCATACAACAGATTGGAGTGGTAATTTTTTTGATTATCCGAATATTATAAATCAATTTTTATTTTATTGTTTGAAATTAATTTCATTATTCATCGAGTTTTCGCACACAATTTAATTAAAACTTAATATTAGAATAAACTTATTCAATCAAACTCATCTAATCAAAAATACTAGAATAAATCTTACGCTATGTGTTAATACATTTCGCAATTTGTTAATAAACTTTATTCTTTTGTATGTTACAGAATCAACTTTGCTATGACACCAAGGAGCTGCAATAGGGGAAACTGCTCCAGTAAATCAAAAAACCGAACAGTAGTTCGCTTTAAATATCAAATTTTTAGATATCGAATTTATCGTTCCAAATTGTCTTGGTTTAATGTCAAAAATGAAATAAAGTTAAGTAATTTATAAAGTGCTCAATCATTGATAAGGACTTGTATTTGAGACTTTATATGTAGTAATAAAGGACGACATTGACTAATTCAAATATTACAAATTCTATATGCTACGTAATGCATTAATATAATACATTAATAACATAATGTAAATAAATAACACAATGTAAATAAATAACACAATGTAAATAAATAACACAATGTAAATAAATAACACAATGTAAATAAATAACACAATGTAAATAAATAACACAATGTAAATAAATAACACAATGTAAATAAATAACACAATGTAAATAAATAACACAATGTAAATAAATAACACAATGTAAATAAATAACACAATGTAAATAAATAACACAATGCACATAACTAACACAATGCACATAACTAACACAATGCACATAACTAACACAATGCACATAACTAACACAATGCACATAACTAACACAATGTACATAACTAACACAATGTACATAACTAACACAATGCACATAACTAACACAATGCACATAAATAACACAATGCACATAAATAACGCAATGTAAATAAATAACGCAATGTACATAAATAACGCAATGTACATAAATAACGCAATGTAAATAATGGAGATTTTGTAATGAAAAAATAAAGTTTCAAAAACCAGTGGGACAGGTCATTTTATACTTTGACCTTCATCGTAGGGGAGAGGCTGGCTTATGTAAAAGTTCAACTTTGTTTTTCATGGCTGCAGATATCAAAGGTGACAACAGTGCTCGCGCTCGCACACCTCGGGTGTCGCAGAGCATTAACAGATACAAAAATTCTTGGCAATTATACCGATAGGCCAGCAAGACGTTGATAAATCGACATCATAAATGTAACATCTATCCTGCACTTCATCGGTGATATTAGCACTGACGAATCTTTTATAATGATTGCTATGTTCGCCGTGGAGAATTACGGAGGGCGTAAAAAAGATTCTAGTTTGTTGGCTGATCATGAAAATATTAAGGAAATGATTGAAATCCAATATTGAATTATTTTTGTTTATATTTATGTCACATGATTAAAGAAACAAAAGTAAATTCAAAATATAAATAAATTATTCAAATTTACATGATTTTATGTCACAATGTAAAGATTATAGAAAGCACATGCAAAAGTATTTTATAATGCAGAAGCAAAAAGTTTGAGCATTTTATTAGCGTAATTCCTTTCTCACAATTATATTAAAAATTTTTGTAATTGCGAAGAAACGGTGCAACTTGTACTATGAAATTATCTCATTGTATTTTGAACATATTTATAACGAAAGATTAGATCGAAATTAATTACATTAATACACTAACGACAGAAGACTAGAAGAAATGTAATAATAGAAGAATTATATTAATTGTATTTTGCGCTTTGTAATATTATTAGTTTCATAATAAATTATGATAGTCAAATTGTTCATAGTAAAGTTCCGTAATAAAATTCTTCTATAAAATAAAAGTGATGGAAAAATATTAATGTATTACATGTATAATCAAATTAATATTTAACAATCTCCCGTCGATAATGTATTAACACAAACTTTCATTTTCGTTATAGTATATACTCTTTATCTAAAGAATCAACATAAAATATATTCACAATACATAGACTGATTACAAAACATTTATAAATTTTAAAGCATATTTACATAATTTCATTCTCCTTTTTCAGGATAAAATATCCCTTAAATACACACCAACATATGCAATTTTCCCTTTATATAGATTTTGCTATTTTATATAAACATATTTTGATTTTTATATATAATTTAAAAGTTTTATACGAAAGTAAAAAATGTCTCCCCTCTTCACTGTAGGCAAATAACTTATAATCGAGCAATATTACGCACTTATAAAGATCTATATTGTTACATCTCGCTATTTAGGAAATCTTGTATTTGATTTTGTTACAATAGAGTAGCACAGTAAAGTTTTAATTTACAATTATTAATATATATCATACTTAGAAAGTGTCTCTCGGTAGAAACAGCATAAAATATCTTTCATAAGAACCTGTTTATCAAATCCTTATTAAGATCCCAATAAAATTTCCTATTGTAAACTTACCGGTCTATGCTTTTTAATAATTTCCATCAAATACTTGTAAAACAAAATTCAAATTCATTACTTGTCATATTTTGGCAATTTCTTACAAAGGCAGAATAATTTTATGAAATATGCCTTCTGTTCATGTGCTGTTACAGTGTTACAATTGAATATGATTTTATATGTATAATGGATTGTACGACGTTAGCTAACTTTTTAAGAAACGCCTTCCCTAAACATGAAAGCATGTATCAATGTCATTCATAATGATACATAAACACTATTTTTTTATTGCACTATTGCGTGCATAGTATAGAAATGTTATAATTAGTATTGTGCGATAGAATTACATTTTGTTTACTCTTATCGAGAACAGATCGTGAGCATTAATAAATCGTTTCATTTGTTAATTAGTTCATTGAACGATTCATTCATCGAATACTTCCAAGCGAAAACCACTCAATTGTTTCGGTTGTTAAATCAATACGTCCAAGAGGTAAGCGTATTCCACCAAGAAATTCATTTTCTTGTAATGTGTCATGATTCCATATTGTAGCTTCCAGAGTTCTCTCTTTAATCACGTCTAGAGCCATTCTATATTCCAACTGTGATGAACATATACATATTATACATCCAAGAATTTTAACTTAACTAAAAAGAAACAGCAGCTACTGATTTGTTTATTTAAATTCATTACCATTTCCATAAACGAAGGATGACAATTTTTCTTTACAACTTTTGTTTTCCGCTTTGTCTTTTTTGTAGGATCAGGTTTAAGGTAAACTTTAACATATGTATTTGGTTCCTGACAATTTGCTACTTTGGGTAATCCTCTTGCATGATAGACCATCACATAAAATGCTCCACGTGTATAGTGAAGAGACATCTTAATTTGTCCGTTCTGCACATTATCTCTTACACGTTTTTCAGCCCACCAATTGCCAACTAATAAAAAAGATGACAATAACATTTACAATATCTTCAAATATTAGATAGCCATATTGTGAAAAAAGTGTATACCTTTTACTTTACGTAAATGAATATCTGCATTTTGTTGATCTCTCAACAAAGGATGAAAGAAAGTGTATACTAAATCACTTTGAGAAATTTCTGGTGCCATCTTGAATAAACTTACAAGGAATTTCTCAATATCCGCTCGTCGTTTATCAGCAACTTGCTTTATGTTAGATCTTCCAACACTTATACCACTTGGTAAGCTATGTAAAATAAATATCTATTTACATTAATCATATAATACTATTTTTATATTTTACAAATAAACTGTATCAATTTTTCATGAATTATGACTAATTACGATTACTCATGAAGATAAAGTAACATCTAAATTATTCTTGTAAATTTGGCTTCAAAGAAACTTTTTTTATATCAAAGATACTAGTCTGATTAGATAATACGAAATATAAGATAGCACAAAATTCTGATAACATATTATAAAAATCTATCAAACAATTCAAGTAGCAATAATAAAACGCATTATCATTTTATGTTTACACTTATTGAAGTTTGTACTATTGATTATACATTTGTTTGAAGTATTTGAATATACATTTTACACTAAAAAGTAGGTATGTACTATTATCAAATTAAAAAATATATATACACATAAGATTTAATTCTGCATTGTTTTAGGAAAAAATATTAAATTAAAAATGGGTATTATTAAACGTTTCCGTGCTCAAGTATTGATACAAAAAGCTTCGTCTAGAAAATCGATTGCGCCTGAATTTTATCGAAGAATATCACAAACTGCATCACAATCGCAGAAAGACATAAATAACAATATAAATAACAAGAAAACTGTTAGCATTGATATTAAACAATCCAAGTCTTCATCCTAACAATAAAGAAATAAGATAAACTAATAAATGATTTCATTGGATTCAATATGTCGAATAATCTAGACTATTAGACATAAAATCTTCTGCATGATGTAGATAAATTAAATTACTATATATGTATAATCTCTACAGATATGAATCACATATGATATTATATGAATTATTATTAATATATTGTTGTTGATTAACAACTGTAATATGTATTTTAATTTATACTATAAAAATCGTGTCATAACATAAAACTGCAATAAAATATATTTTACTTACCTAGCAAGTTTTGCAAGAGGAAAGTGAATGCACAACTTTTGATAGAATTCACAAAATTCCTTATATGATCGGAATAAATAAGTAGGATCTGCATGACCTTTTCGTTGTATACGCAAGATATACATATAATATTTTTCAGGATCATATCGTTTTTGGTAGCCGTGCACTTGAACACTTGTTAACTGACCTTCCTGCTGCATTCTACAGTGAACATATAGACATTTTTTAAATATTCAATGTGCTTTAAGAAATATAATTTTAAATTTTTAATTTACATTTAAGAGCAAATATTAAAAAGTATATTAACAAACTTACGTATATGTACGTGGTATAAAAGATAATAATGCTCCATCATTATGGTCGCCCGAAAATCTAAGTTGTGCTAAATTATGTAGAAAAAAGTTGAACTGTGTAAACCAACTTTTAAGTGAACTTTCTATCATTCGGGCAAATGTTGCAGCTGCTTCAGGATTTGTTTGCTCTGGAAGAAGAGCTTTTTGTACGTAACTAACTGCATCCACAGTCACACCAGGAATGCCAGACGAAGTCATCTGTGAATTTGTATAATTATTCATTTTAGATTTGTTCACAAATTCTTTGATTTCAATGTCACTAAGCTTTTGTTGTATAACATGTGATTTATATAAATCAGTCATGTTATTTTTTTGAAACAATAAATCATCCATTTTTAACACCTATGCCCTTGTCTGTTAAAATGATTTATGATACAATAACTTCTACGATATTTTTAAAGTTAATATTATAACCGTTTGTTATTAATATATTGTTTGTCGCTTGTTTGCTTTACGCATAAATGATTAAAACTGCTGCATTGTTCGATATTACGGAACCTCAGACGATAAACGCTAATTAACTACGCACTGTATATAGTTTAGCGTGATAGGCGGACCACTTTCTGATAAAACGCGTGGATAGGTCCTTCCGTTGCGGTTTTATTGTTGTCATAACACAGTAATGGTTTAAATTTTAATACCGGCAAAAAAGTTCAAACTATTTTTTTGCCTTTTAATTCAATTTTGTAAACAACTTAGGTCTTTTATAGTAAACGAATAGACTACTGTTTAATAATATTTCGATATAAAGTTTTAAATTGTAATGACACAAAATCCTTAACATATACAATATAACAGGAATAGACGTACCAATCCAAAAAGATGCAGAATTAGATTTCCATGCTTCCGCACTACATTAAATGCTTGGCAACACAAATCCACGAAATGATGGAACTTGGCTGATGGCTTATCTCCACCATTTATAACATAAGCCATATCAGATGTCAATACAAATGGTGTCCTATCCCTAATTAAAAACATGAAAGATTATAATTTAGTTTTATAAGTAGTGAATATATATAAATAAGGATACATTTACCTTTTAAAATTTCCAAACATTTGAGCATCACCTAAGAATTTCCCAAAATCAATATGAAACAGATGACCTGATGTTTTTAACATAATATTGTCGTTATGTCTATCACAAATTCCTAAGATATAGGTAGCAACACTATAACCCGCACAAGATGCAGTAAAGTTTTCTACCGCTCGTTCATACTCCAACTCTGAAGGATTATGTTTTGCCAACCATTCGGCAATAGGTCGATCTTTAAATGATCCAGTTAGGCCAAACTCAACCTGTATTTTTCTCAACGTTTCTGCATTTGTAACCATTTCTATCATCCCACGTTTGTATCCAGTAGGTACGCAAGCAAATGTTACCATTTTAAGATCAAGACCTTCTTTTAACCAAAGTTTATCCATTATGCGCATCATTTGAAGAGTTAACATATCTTGTTGTAAATCATCTCCAACCTTCAAGATTATTTTAGTATAGAATAAATCATAATAAATTATAGCAGTAGGTATTTGTTAATTGAACATACTTTAAAAATCGCTGGACAAATTACATCATCACAGCTAATAAAGTTGATTTTCAATGGAAGTGTAAATGATGGAAAGTATGAGCAACTTTGTACATTTATACCAAATACTTGTTTACTAGGAGACAACGGTAAACAGGTGCCATCATCTTCCATTAATTGACAATGTATATTTTGTAAACCAATTTTGAGCGCATCTAGTCGTAATGATTCTTTCGTTTGCTTAATATTTTCCGCTACTTCATATAAATTCTACAATATTATGAGTTACACTGTTAACATTTGCTAATTTATATAAAAATATACGTTAAAGAAAGAAGGAGAGGAAAAATTTTACTTTAACGAGTAATTGTTGCGTAAGAAAACTATTTCTTAGTGCATCCCCAATGACGGCTAATAACGCTCGTAACATCAATTGTAACCTTCTATGATAACGTGCTGAACTAATATTTTTATCATCCTCTGGTGTAGTTTCAGCAGAATTCTGAAAATAGAGCACACTAAATATACTTGTTTAACTTTCTAAAGTAAAAGAAAATTATTCCAATCTGAATTACTTGAGGACTTTGTCCTGGTAACGCTTGCGTTAGTAACCAATAGATGTGATGAGCTACCCGCGGAGAAAGTAAAGCTCGTTCTAATAAAAACTTTGTAAGAGGGGACGTTTCATATGTTTCGTGCTTTAACGCTTGTAATAATTGAGGTAAGTAATCTACAAGTTCATCATTACTCAGTTCTCGAATCCATCCAACTGCCATTTCTCTAACTTTCATATCTGGAAAACTATAAAGTATCTTTGATTAGTTGTACAATTATCAACAATCTCACATACATATACATATATATATTTAGAACATTGGAGCATATATATTTAAAACATTAAAATATATATATACCAAGGTAACAATAATTGCAGAGCTTGGACAGGAGGTAAAGGACTCCAAATTCTAAGAGATGCATGAAGATCAGGCAAACATGCCCAATCCCAACTATGTGCAGCTAAAAGTACTTTAGGTAAAGCTTCAGGTCTATTGTGCAAATAATGTCGTTTTTCCCATAAAATTTCTCTTTCTTCAACAAGTGGTCTATTAAAAAGTTAATTAATTAATTAATAGATATCAATAGTTTAGTATTAATATTTGTAATTAAAAAATATATGTATACCTTGAAAATGTAGTTTGCTGTGTGATATCTATTAACAATTCTTGTGTGTTCTGATCCAATGAATTAAAATCAAGAGATTCTACATCATAATCACGTAATTCTGTAGGAAATAATACTCTGCCACCATAATCAGGTAATTCTACACCAATAATAGCATGCGTATCTCCATGAGGATGAATCCCAGCTGCTGGGGCAGGGCCTAATCTTTTATCAGCAATTGCTGGCCAAAGTGACAAGAAAAAGCTTCCTTGACTCATAACTCTGTAATTAAAAATATAAAAAAAACATATAGTAAAATACTTTCTCACTTTAATAGATGTAATCAATTACCCTTCATAATCGAAAAATTGTATAGCTCCCCATCCCAATTCTTCTTTTTGCATGGTATTTTCTGCTGATGAATTAGATTCATGATCAGTAGGTTGCAATGTACGACCATATAAAACTAACACTAATCTTGCTTCTCTTGGTACTTGACATACGCTTATCCCACGAAATTCTAGCCTTTTATACAAAAAAGAATATATAGTAGTAGTTAATTTTATTATTAATAGTAATAGAAGTAATAAAATAATAGTAATATCTCTCATCAATTAAAAGTAATAATAATGTTATTTAATAGTAGCTTTTAATATTATTACCATGAATTAAATAAAATTCTTGGATGAAAATTAGAACTGACTGCCATAGGTTCGGATAAAACTGGATTTCCAACAGGTCTTGTTCCATGAAATATTTGAGCTGCGATGATATAATCGTCATGTTTCCATGATCCTGGCAGTCTATGTAATGCTCCAACACGAACTAGGATGGTATCTAATACCTCAGACGATATTAATGTATCTATTATACAAAAATATAATAAAATTAATCATTTCTATAATTCATTATCTGTTAAAATGAAATTTTATAATTCTAATGTTCTTACTTGTTGGAATTTCTCCCCTGCTATTTAATTCAAAATCAACCCTAAATGCATGACAGTAAGTTTCTACAAGATCTTGAATTGCATCGCGAATTTTTCGACAATGAGATGCAATAACATCTGGAAATTTTGTTCTTAATGTCACTACGGAATAATCACCATCTTCATGCAGAATTTCTGGTTTCTTGCACTCTATATTTGTTGTATGAACTTGAGGTAAAAATTGACAACATGCATTTACGAAATTATCAACAGCTTCGGTAATTTCAAATGTCTCTATGTTTCCCATTAACGCACATACTGCTTTTACCGCTTGGACAACACTACGGGGTTGCAATTGTGGTAAAAGACTGGAACCATGATTAGTAGTTGCTAAATGTATGGCAGCAGTTTCCACACGTTCCATTTCTTTTTCTACAGTTTCTACAATTTTTTATATGAAAATGCGTAACTATTACTTAAATATGTCACATTTTTTTGTATAATAATAATTTCATAAAAATTATTTTTTGTTTTCATACCTAATAAAATAAGAAGTGTATCGTAAGAAATAGGTTGTACTGGTTCATTTGGAAGAATATCTTCTAACTTGAGACATTGATCACGATTATCATCTTGAAGCTTTAAACAAAATTGTATATGCATAACATTAATTATTAATTAAAATATCCTTACATTCAAAAAAATACTTACTGTTCGTGTTATAGACCGTTTTATTTGCGCTTTAGTTAGGATAGCTAATTCAATATCTTTTTCTAATTTGATACATTGATGTATATATTCGTACTGAGCTAAAGTTGTATTAGATGCAAAATATTCTGCTAAACCCCATACCCTCAGACAATATTTCTCTATATTTACTATATCTTCATCTTCTAAGGAACAAGCGACATTAAGAATAACATGCTCAACACTACAATTTACTGAAAAAAGATGTGTTTTATATGTTAAATTGTTGAAATTTATTTCATAAATTTTTTATTATAAATTCTATGTGTGTAAATTTACCATCGCATGTAAAAGAAATGGACGGAGTATTTTCGTCAGAATCCATTAACTGTGGATGTACAACTAATTTTATACTTGTGCCTTCAGGATATAAACTTTCCATCATTGGACTGATTACATGTCCAATGTTTGTACTGGGATCATTGAATGGAAATTCACCTGGACATATTTTGTCAATTAATATACATGTATTGTAAATTCTATGAAAATACTAAATTGTTTACTTATACTTTACTAACTTCGAACAGATTTGATCATGTCATAGAAAGCTCTAAGATCGCAATCATGAAGTGATGGTCTAGTTTTTCTCACTGTTACATTTTCATACAAGCGTGTTTGTCGTTTCTGTGATATGAACGATGAAGATTATTAAAACTTTAGTTATCAATTATTTATTTAAGTAATTAAACATTTAGAATATTTACTCTTCTATCTAAGGAAGTCCTTCTTCTTTCAATAGTATTCCAAGCTGATGAATTTCTAGGAGGTAGTGGTGGTGGTGCAGCTGGAGATACTGCTGGAGATTTAGCAGACTTTTCCACAGCAACATATACTGGATCTGAATTAACACTTTCATTTGTGCTATACATGTAATCAAAAGGATCGAATGGATCATACACTGATCCACTCACTTGCGATTGTATTTCTGCTTAAACAAATCATATTATTATTATTAGATATTTATATAATTACTTTATTTTATTTATAAATTTTAACAAAATATTACCATCTTTATGTCCCTGTGTGCTATCATTCTGATCTTCAATCTTAACAAGTAATGGATCAAATGCTTCTAGTACACTAACCCGAACATTTGTTTTATCATCTACTTGATCAAAAGAACTCAAATCTATAAGATTATTATTTGGCTTCTTTTCTATCACTTTTAATACATTCAGCTGTTCGTCATCCATACAAAATGTAGGTTTTTGGACACCACATATAGAAGGAGTAATACTTGGTCTATAATTCATAGGTAGTGGAGGTATCTGCAAAAAATTATTAATATTTATTCTTAAAAAAATGATGAATATTATTGAATGTTTGTCTTTTAAAAAATTTCTTTAAAAAAAAGTTATAAATAAACTTAAAACTAATATTTTTATACCTGACATTATTAAATTGATAGTTGAAGATATTAAACTGAATGTAAGATTTATACATAATATATACCTGAGAATGAGTAAGAAAAAAATTTTTTAAATCATTAAGATTCCATGCAGGCTGCAAGAATCATTAACAAAATTATCGTTACAACAAAAAAAAAAACATATTCCACATTAACCACTGAATACTAATGAAAATATTATGATATTTACCTGTGGTGTTATATCAGGTACATTACTGTTAATACTACTAGATCTTGACATAACAGGACTAATTTTTGGAGTTCCTGGTGTACAAGGTGCAGTGGAAGATCTAGGCCCTGGAGAAAGTGATTGATATCGGTAGTCTCGAGAATGATAACCTGCAGAACTGGTGCTACGTGACACTCTCCCTTGTTTTTTCAATAATGAGGGATGAGTTTCCCATCTTGGCTCTACAGTCGCTTTTCTGCTATGTGAAAATAATTATTCATTAATAACTATTAATTAATAATTCTCCAATGTTTTTATAAAATTTATGATTTGTCAGAGTGATTAATTGTATTCTTACGAAGGTGGAGGTGGAGGTGAACAATAATCATTTAAATTATCTTGCTTCACTGGACTTGTAAATGTAATCAAATCAACAGTATGTTCTTGACTTGTGGTGGCTGTTGTTGAATTTCTTCTAGATGGAACTGGTGGCGGTGCTAATATCACAGCATTTCTAGATTGATTAGTATTACAGGAACCAGGCCTTGGCCTACTTCTACACTGAAATCTATATAATTTTTGTTATTATAAATTCATTTTAATTTGTGCAATAAATATATGGTAAAATAAAAATGATACAAATTTCATTTACTTTTCGGTTTGTTGTGTGTTATCTCTTTCTGATGAACTACTATGTACAGTGCTGTTTCCATCACTCTGTGGAACACATTGTTGCTGAATATTATTAAAATCTGATCGTTGCTTTTGTAACTTAAATTTTTCTAGTGCCAAACTCTCCAAACTCATTGCCTGAGCAAGTTCTAAATCCTCTTGGAATTGACGTTCATAATCAATCACCGCAGATCTTTGAGTACTTGTATTTCTACTGTAGTGTGACATCTAAAATTAAATTAAAAGCTTGTTACCACATTATAGAAAGACGGAAGCGTAAAGAAAATTAATATATATATGTACGTATATTCAAGATGTAAATATGACAAACTAGTATGAGTAAGCTACTAATAATATAGACACAATACGTATATTTTAAATATACTTTAACCTATACCTGAAGTGCATTCACATAAGTATTTTCATACATTGTTAACGAAATTAAATTAAACAATAACATTAATTTATTAATACAATAACATAGTTTTATATTATTATTATATATCTTACTAATTTACACATATATATCTTAATAACGTAGTTCTATGTATTAAAATTATGTGATGAACAAGATAAAAAAAGTATATCAAAAAGAAATTTCTCAACATTGGCTGTAATTATGTATCACATGAATTAATAAAAGTGAAAGAAACATATTGTTGGTATAGACCTTATCATTTAAAGGGCTGCATTATCAATTTAAAGTTCCAGGAGTATTATGCGTCTAGGTAAACAGATTTACGGCTCACCCTAGCATTATTTTCAGCGAAGTGTCTCGCTGTTGAAAAATCTTCAAGCAAAAGACCAATACAGTCTGAGAAAAAGCACTGTCACCTAATCAAGGAAATGACATTTTCAATCGTATAATTAGCTGTCGTGTACAAACAACCTACTGTACTAACTGTACACACGTAGATACTATGTGTATACAAATCGAAAAGTGCACTGACTTGAAGCTGCTGCCACGGATAGACAATGTACTGGTAGAGTAGAAGTAGAAGACACAATAAGTGTATCGTATGTACATACAATGAATGTATCGTATATACGTGCACGATACGTCTTACAATCAATACAACGATGCGATGTAACGAAAGACTGGTTATGGTGCGGATGTAATTGAAAGTGGTGACGGTATACAGTTAGGTTACATTAACTCTTTCCGGTGTATCGACTATTTGGATGGTTAATCTATTTAACCTGAACGGCGAACCTTATTTGATTAAAGCTGATTTATACATGGAACGCGTAGGATTGTTTACAGTTAGGAGTATCTATCTATCTATCCATCTATATATATGTATATATATATCTATATATATTATTATATATATACAATATATATACAATATATACATATATATATATATATATACATATATACATATACATATATACATATATATATACATATATATATATATATAATATATATATATATATATATATATATATATATATATATATATATATATATATATATATATATATATATATATATATATATATATATATATATATATATATATATATATATATATATATATATATATATATATATATATATATATATATATATATATATATATATATATATATATATATATATATATATATATATATATATATATATATATATATATATATATATATATATATATATATATATATATATATATATATATATATATATATATATATATATATATATATATATATATATATATATATATATATATATATTATTATATATATACAATATATATACAATATATACATATATATATATATATATACATATATACATATACATATATACATATATATATACATATATATATATATATAATATATATATATATATATATATATATATATATATGTTAGTAATATGTATAGCTCTATATGTGAACCTTCTTATGCGAAAGATTATGTCCGTTAATTTTATTCTTTTTTAATACAAGATGTCTAGTTGTGGTATAATAGAGAAGAGGATAATTTTGTGGGAAAAAATAAGCCGAAAATATGGAATAACATTTTTTCATATGGTGCTTAATTTTCAAGAAAATAAAAATTGAAAATTTGTCAAATTGTGTCAAGTAGTGTCGATACATTGGATCACGCGTCCCGATTTTATGCATATAGATTGTCAAGATCGGTCTTCGTTTGTAATCGGTCTGCTAAACGAAACATTTGATCTCTTTCTCATATCGGTTATTTATTATCTATAATAATAACACATACACAGATTCAGATATTTGTCGTGTATTAATACACGTATGATATTTATTATATTAATACATTATAATGTCTAATGGATAAAATGTTTACAAAAATATAAATGTTTCATTTGTGTAATAATATCATTTTCAAAAATAGTGCAATAACACTAACTATAAATACGACCCATTAAGAATGTACAAAGTGAATTATCCTGTTCATAATTACTAATAATTATAAATATATTACTGATGGTAACCTAAAATATCACTGAAAATTAAATGTTAGTAATATGTATAGCTCTATATGTGAACCTTCTTATGCGAAAGATTATGTCCGTTAATTTTATTCTTTTTTAATACAAGATGTCTAGTTGTGGTATAATAGAGAAGAGGATAATTTTGTGGGAAAAAATAAGCCGAAAATATGGAATAACATTTTTTCATATGGTGCTTAATTTTCAAGAAAATAAAAATTGAAAATTTGTCAAATTGTGTCAAGTAGTGTCGATACATTGGATCACGCGTCCCGATTTTATGCATATAGATTGTCAAGATCGGTCTTCGTTTGTAATCGGTCTGCTAAACGAAACATTTGATCTCTTTCTCATATCGGTTATTTATTATCTATAATAATAACACATACACAGATTCAGATATTTGTCGTGTATTAATACACGTATGATATTTATTATATTAATACATTATAATGTCTAATGGATAAAATGTTTACAAAAATATAAATGTTTCATTTGTGTAATAATATCATTTTCAAAAATAGTGCAATAACACTAACTATAAATACGACCCATTAAGAATGTACAAAGTGAATTATCCTGTTCATAATTACTAATAATTATAAATATATTACTGATGGTAACCTAAAATATCACTGAAAATTAAATATTGTAGAAAGTAACACTAACAATTTTTGATAAATATTCATGAAATATAAGAATAAAAAAAATAAAATATAAAAAGTGAGATTAAAATTGTCCTACTGGCCGCATTAATACTAAGGTAGTTAATAATATTGATAATTTCTTTGAGGTATTTTAAGTACACAACAGACATTGGTGGTGTTCTTTTTTAAATTTTGCAAGTTTAAGAGTATTGTATGATTTTAAGCCAGAATCCTTTTTCGCTAGTTGTCACGAGACTTCGTCTACTAAATTTTATCGGCGTTATCGTTCTCTCGCATGTTTCCACTCTGTGCTTTCTGAGAAACGAAATTACCCCCACTTTGATTTGTAGCAATGCGAACCGCATACCTGAAACAAATGAAGTGCCGTTAATATAACGATGTAATCTTTCTGACGTCATTTGATATAGTGTACTTTAGGTTATTCATCCCTAATGATTTGTTACAAGTTGTGATCTATACTAGATCGCAATAAATCATGTTAGTATCTCACTGTAGTATGCTACGATATTGCGTGATAAATGCAAAACTAATGTATAATTTATATAATTGATAATAATGACTTAAACGAGTTGACAAACAGCAAAAAATGCATTTAAATTTTAAATTTCTTGTTCATAAGTAAAGATATCTTTTTAAATGGAATTTTGTGATAGTTTTTTTTATTGCTTCTCATATTTAAATTTACACAGTGGACAATTTTTCATCTTAAAATATTTGTAGTCTATGATGTTCACTATCTCAAAAATAATTTTTTAAAAATATTATTTATATATTTTTGAACGTTTCAGCTTATTTTTAAACAGTAAACTTAATTGAAATATAATATTTAATATACCTATGCAATTTCGAGGTCCCTCGCCAAATGGAAGATACGTATAAGGATGTCTGGTTCGTTTATTTTCTTCTGTGAATCTTTCGGGATCAAATGTTGCTGGATCCGGGTAATAATCTGGATCATGGTGAAATCCATAAATCGGTATGATTACCCGCATGCCTACTGGTAATTCAACCTTACTTCCTGGTATTTGGTATTGGTGCTCGCATCTTCGGGATAGCATTGGAGCTGGAGGATATTTCCGTAGCGTTTCTGAGAAGAATTTAGTAGATTACACTATGTTTTCAATAATATTACATTAAAAGTTTAGATGAATTTTGGACATAAATAATCATTTAATAATGAAATTCTACTATAATAATAATAATTCTATAATAAAATAGTTTGTTTTCCAGCATTTGTTTCCTAGTTTATTATAATAAATTGCAGTATTACACCTATAACTCTGATATTCCGTAATTAACAAAAATCCTTGGAGGAAAAATAATTTTTTCTTTAATATTTCTTATTTCAATTGGTTCTTTTAGCTCCTAATTTTAAAAACTTTTTTCATTTGTTCAGTTAAATCAATATCCTGCTCAATTTAAGCACGAAACTCTTACTATTGAAATAACGTGTATGACGAAAACAATTGCTTTTCGCGTGGAGGTGTTAAGTAAACAAGGCCAACTTCGTCTCTTTTTAAATCGTTCTATTTATATCTCACTGTGGGTGGAATAAGAACTTAATCAATGACACAGTGCAATTGAAGGTCATAGTAAAACACAAAAAGATTACGATCATGAGGATGAAGACATGTATACATAAACACTTATATGGAATATCAAATCTGAATAAAATCTGAAATCTGTTATAAAGATCTATTGCCTATTTTATCACTTAAATTTTCTAATCTTAACAAATTTTGTACGCCAAGTCATTGGTAGTTATAACAAGGATAATTGTAATAAAACTTATGGCATACTTATAATTGTTATGCTTTGTACTAGTAATATTTTATAAAGTAACTTTGATAAAATAATTAATTAATTTTGTTAAAAGATCGAGAAATTGTTGAAATTCTAGTAATATTTCGAGATAGATATTTTCGAACTTTCCAAAGAGATAAGTAACTTGAAGAAATCGTGAAACTAACGATGACAAGCAACATACTATATCAACACAGCAAATAATAGGAGTAATCATTACAAGAATATCTTATGACACATTTCAAGATATGCAATTTACGTGCAATCAGGTCAAAGAAAATGCATTTATACCTGCAATAACCATATCAAGATACTTCATGTCTTGGATAGCATCGTAAGACAGTTTGCCATTTCTGCTGTCAATGGCGTCTTGTATGTCGCGTCTCGTTTTTTCCTGAATTTCTGTATTTAACGCCAACTCGTGAAGACAGAAAGCTATGGTGTTCGAGGACGTTTCATAACCGGCAGCGAAAAACACAAACGCTTGCGCTGCAATGCTGTTCTCGTCCAATTCTATAAATAACGATACTATACATGATAAAGCATGTGGACAAAAAATTTCTTTATCGGTCACCAGTTTGATAAACTTTCAATATGAACACTGCTAATCGTAAGAAGAAAGCTATTCTGTAATTTTTGATCGCTAATTGTGAATCGTGAATCGGCATAATTACGAATTAGATTATTATGAAACGACGTATTTTGGAATATTTATGGAAAGGTATGTATAGGGAAAATATAATTTTAGACATTTTTAAAGTAAATAAAAAATAAATAAGAAATTAACAAAGTAATTTTGGATTGCTTTCCAAATATAAAATCTTCTAATTATTTTAGACAATACTAATTTTGTTAGAAAATTAATAAATAAGCTATTGATATACGTAACATTGTGAGGTAACCAACGTTAACTGTGGATTCTAATTACGAATTGATAAAGCTCCTCTTATACGTAGTTAATGAAACGTTTCATTAAAGGAGCTGCTACATTTCACTGACATTACGTGAATCTTGCAGCGGCCGTATGAATAAAGCATTTACTGTCAATCTTATCCTGATTAATTTGTAACAAAATGCTATCGTTTGTGGTTAGTCATTACAAGTACTGGAAGTGTACAGCAAATAGTTCACTTATTGACTGAAGGAGACTTATCAATTATATAACTCTCTTCCTTCATTGATACAATTAAGTTATTCAGAACCGATAGAAGCCAATATAGAGCAAACGCTAACAGCAGCGAATACATTACATTTATCGATATTTCTTTGTATAGTGTCAAGTTTATTTACACGAAAAATATTAACTGATATAACAACTTTCTAATAACAAGTATAGTTGTACAAAAAACATGCAAGTTACTTGGCATTGGTCTGCCAAAAAAATGTGTGTCGCAGTGAAACGGTGCAGCAGTATCAAGCACATACCAGACCACATGTTAAGGCGAACGACAACATTTCTCTCGTAAAGCGTACGATTTATCTTCGTATAAAGTAATCTATATAAACGATAGGAGCAAGCCGATACACCCATACGACAGTTTATTCTGTTGCTACTTGCTACAATTTCGCAAAAGTTTTTGTGTTTTTCGTCTTCGAATTCTACCTATTATCATTGGGCTGTGAATGTTTATGCGAATGTGCATTTTTATGAACGTAATTGAGGAAATGCGTATTCCGTGCATTTTATCAGCTTTCTACGTTATTTCATTTTCTATATTTATGTTGCACTTTTAAACATTGTGTTTATCTAATTTTCTATACTACTCATTTATTTCCCATAAATACATAAACATCCACAACTTAAACACTACTAATCTCCATATTTATCAACATACCTATCTCTTCAGTAATTTTCTCATCTTCGTCATTGCAAACTTGTCCACTTCCACACTCATCCAATGATCCTTTATTTTTCAATTCAATTAACAGGTCCATAAAGTCGTGTCTCTTAATACCATGTTCCTCTCGTTCGTTAATCATCTGCGACACTACATTCTTGAAAAATTTGCTTACCTCAGGATCTATCACTTGAACATCCAAAAATTTGTACAATTTTGGCATGGCTGTCCTGAGCATTCTCCAGAGGGTAGCTGTGTAACTTGGTTTCGAGAGTTTCTTAGCAGTCCTGTGAAACTCGGATTCCTCATCGGTGAGAGCATTTATTTGTATGCCAAAAGCACAGCTGCCAATGACGTCTATCGTAAATTTCGCCGCTAGCTCGCGAATCTCAAATGGACGATGGGTCTCGGAGGACGCGTCGATTAATTTTTGAAACTCCTCGCCGCACTCGGCTAGCAGGTAGAACATTCTTTTCAATTTGCCGGATGAAAAGGCTGGGGTCAGTTTGGATCTTAGGCTCTTCCATCTTTTCCCTTCTAGGTTGAACAAGTGGGCGGATAACGAGTTCTATGAAAAGGTTATTCATTTAAATTAATTATAATTTATGTTTTTCTATTATGTATTTTTATGTATTATTTTATGGTTATTTCAGATCTATTCTAATATTCTGCGTATATCTTGTTACAACGTACGTCGATTTTTAATTTTGCATTTTTTATAAATAATCTATATCAATAATAAGATCCTAATCTATTTTGTATTGTTATCGTTAAATATAACTAAATTTTCAATTTTAAATTCATTCAAGTTTTCTATTAACCTTAGCAGAACGAAATTTGTTCTCATATTTAAAATACTTATCATGGTTAGAACCCGTTATGGGCACGACCAATTTACATAACAAAACATTTTCCTTTTACCTGTGAGTTTACCGGTATTCCACGGTTCGTGAAGCAAGCGAAGCTTTTCACGCAAATGTCTTTCACGAGATCTGGGTCCCGTAGGATCAGTACAGGCGACATAACACGGAACGCTCCAAAATACCTCTCGTCTTTGAACCACTCGTACATATCTTTTATACCTTCTGGTAACGATTTTTGGAACAATAACAATGACGCAAAATTTCCAAATAATACTATAGGTTTTCGGAAAGGGACGCCACGGTTCTTCCAAAAATCGAATGTCGACGTAAAAAAACAATATATAATACCTAGCAGTAATCCTAGTAATAGAAATTGCTCCAAAATATTCCACATTTTGAATTCGCTACAGAGTTCTTTTCGAAATACAAATATAAGATTATTTTTCCAAATCAATAACTATGACGCTCTTCTGTTCCTTCCTTATTTATAAAATTGAGCAATATATTCGCTACATGTCATCTCATAATCTTCGTTGTTTTTCTGTTTTTTAAATAAATTTTCGTACACCATATATATATTTGAGATCAAACATGTAATTGGTATAGCAATCTTTTACGAATGTATTATGTGCGTTATATTTTCATATTTTACAATCTCATTAGCATTGTAACGAAGTAGCTATGAGACAAATGTTTCATATAACGCGTACAATATAATACATAGCAATTGTGTATGGCAAGTGTTCTGATACTTTTATGAACCGCGTTAAAAGATTCTTTCCTTTTTTGATTCAACAGTCGTATACATAATGCATTACGTCTGGAGCGGCGGATATCGGTTCAACGTTATCGTCGCGAGGTCAACAGTATAAAACAAAGGATTACTCGACGTTTGTCGCGGCAGTTCTCGAATTACGCAGTTCGATACTCCGATCGAATCCTTGGAGTTGTTTATAGAAGTACACTTGTCGACTGACTCACGAACACAGTATTTGCACTCTCTTGTTTCTCCCAGTGAAATGTCAGTGATGAACGCTCGTTCAACTGTTCACTGTTCGCACGCGCAACTGACGTTTCGTGCAAGCACGTGATTATCAGGCTGTCGAATTCAACGTTCAAATGCTAAGCGAGCGTTAATTCGTTCCGTTTAACACCATTTCGAATATTAATATCGTTCCACTAATCGATTCTTGTAATTTTACTGCGTGTGCATTTTATCGACTTACACGTCGATTTTGAACGTCGAATCGAGATGTTATGCTTCCTATGATCACTGAAACAACGTATGTAATTTTAAAACTCCCTACAAGCTGCAATTGTTTATCACTTTGAATTAATTCCACACTTTTGTCTATTTCACGTATACAAAACAACGTTAGTTTTTAGGCGGAAAGAATATAATCAACAACATAAATTCACAACAATTCACTATCGAAGTTACGCAACTATAGACGATTGTAAGATGTATCGGATTTAATGAGGTTAAGGCATACTGCACAAGTTTGAGGACAACAAGAAGAATAGGAAAAGGAAGAAGAGCGAAAGAAAGGAAAGAAGAAGAGGGAAGAGGACGCCTATCGTTCTCACCGAAAGCTAACCTCCCACCGACTGGAAATCATGAACGTACGCATGCACGCATTTATAGAGACCTTGTGCTCCTGCTCCGGCTCGGGTTCGTATCCAAACTCATGTTCCGGTCGAGAGCCGCTCGTTTATCTTCAACAGCTTTTCGTTCCCTCTCTCTGCCACCCGGGGATAATTAGCCCCAAGACGTATGCTCGTTTTTACGCACGAATTTCCGTTTAAAAATGATCGATATCATCTTAAGTTTGTATAGCTTCTGTTTGCGTGAGACCTTTTATTCATCGTTATCGTTAATAAACCGAGCCTATCAATTACTATCTTTTAAAAACGCTGTATTATATTGCTGTCACAACGGTTAAAATTTTGATGTTATTATATGAGAAATTCTTATGGTTACATTACATGGTTATGATTCGTTAGTATCGTTGTTCTTTTAGAATTTGATTTTCTTGTAATTTTAACATCTTTATCTTGAAATTGGTGTTTAGGAGTGTTTTTAGTTGTTAAAAGTTTAGCGTTAGGTGATTTAGTATCAATTACCATAATAATATATACCAAATACCACGATATTGTATTATTTTGTTATTACTATTATTATTATTGTTGTTGTTGTTATTATTATTATTATATGAAATGTAGTAATTTTGCATATCATACGCATTTTGTGCATTCTTGTATCTTCAACTCAACGAGTACTAATCAAGTCTTAGATAAACATAACAAATATAACAAGTTAATCAAATTATTTATTTTGTATTTTATATTTCATATTTTATACAGGTGAGATTATTAACTGTAGCTCTTATTTTATCGTTCGGATGTAAAATATGAAATAAAATTAAATAACTCAACGTTTTACTTTAATCTGTGACTCACATAATGATATCATATAAGGACGAACACGTAAAAATATGATACGAAGTGGCAAGAAATGCAACTAAAAGAGAAAGACTAATCCGCGAAAGCGTGAAGTCATGCGGAAATTTCAGAATGCGTTATATGCAGAGATAACGTAGTCTACTTCGTTTTGAACGCGTGTCTGTCGACAATCTGTAACAAATGAAAATAGATCTTACTTTTACTACGAGATTGTGATCTCTCCTTCCATTGCTTTTAGAATGAAAACAGATGGTTGAGCATGGGGGACCTGGTTTGACTCCTTCCTGCGTGCCTTTCTCTACCTTCTATCTCCTTATGATGTATGCGACTGGGTTACCAAGAAAAAAATTAGAAGCAACGCGAATGAAAACTCGTTGCCACAATATGCAGCCGATTCTTTTTTCATTCGCAACTTGTTTCCTCGTGTTATTATTATTTATTAGACGAAATGATAGGTTTTGTTTAATACTGTAAATTAAGATTAGATTAGGTTTCTACATTATGCATAGATGTAATGCTCATGCGTGTATGTTTTATGAACAAGTTGTTGCTGGGTGATATTTATAGAAAGAATGTTCCAATTTATGGAATGAATGTAAAGTAATTTGAAACTGAATAAGTGTATTTCTGGTTTCTTATAAGTTAAAATTGGTTATCTTTGGTATGTTTCATAAATCTGAAATTGAAATTCGCCCTTAAAACTATGACAAATTTTACTCTTCATGTAAACAGATAGAATCTATATCATTTCATGATTGATTACATCATAAAAATTATGGACTATGTACATAAGCTTAGCAAATCTCCTATCGTAGATATGTTTAATTTTTGCGCTCAATTTCATATATGATTCGTGTCATGTAAATAGTACAGAACTCGTATTACGCAAGCATTATATAACTTTTTATTTTTTTCTAACTTCGTATAAAGTTATTAATGAGTTTTGCTTTTTATTTAACTTGTTGATTATACATGGTAAATGTTTATCAATAACTGTTAATATATTATACTCTTTTTTTACATTTTATACACTTCAAACAAGGTTATATAAGATTTACATAGGATTGTCATCTTCTCTACAATCTCAATGCAAATGAGTTATAAAATAAATCTAGTGACGACATATAATTCACAAGTTTTGCTGCAAATAATGAATACGATTTCGAAATTTGCAAGTCAATTTCATTCACTATATCTCGTTTGTATTCGTAAAAACGTGGGAAATGTCGGTAAGATATCGATAAAAGATATATGTTACAGTCTAGTTTTCTACTATATCATATATAAGTAAGAAGATTCATATTTTAATAGTGTTTTATCTATTTTCCGTGATGTGGCTATTCGTTTCAGTTCAAATTCTCAGAATTTTGTTACTAAAAAGTTTCAAAATAGTAGAATTTTCTATGTATTTTATTTCATGCATGTATTTATTATTCTACTTCTCTTTTGTTTGAAAAAATTTCTTGTTCTCTTGTACTCTGTATTTCAATCCTTTCAACAGTTACGTATAATTCCAGTATAAAGTTTCGCTCTTCTTATTTATAAAAATTAAATTTTAATTACAGTAGAAAAGTTACTAAAAATGTAAAAAACATAGAAAATTCCAAATATGTCATTTGTATAATTTTAATTTAATAGTAAACATTATAATATTGTGTTTTATTATAGTAACCTATTACCATTATAGAGGAGAACAAGCGTAAAGTAATTTTATAGAAGTTACGATATGCAACAATACAATAATTTTTACATTAGTTTCGTTACAATATTATAACTTTATATATAATACTTGTTTTTATAGTTTATTGTTCTTATAGGTAGCGTTAAATTATATTTCCCGATTTCATTTGGAAAACCGTACTCAACAGTGCATTATATAACATAATACGTAACAGTTGGCTTGAATTACAAGTATATCGTGAAGATATTGTCCGCTAAATGCAAGTTGTCTAATATGGAGTAAATATCGTTAGAATTAATATGGGAGTTTAAGAATTATTAAGAATTACTTAATTTTTAAGATAATGATATCGACTTCTCTCTCTTTCTCTCTCTCTCTCTCTCTCATCTAATTTTTTGAACAAATTAAATCTTACGTATTTAAAGGATGTGTGTCTCTATTATTATTGAGTGACAAATTTAGCAATTAGCAATATTTAGAAAATTTTTGGAAGGCACCGAGCATGAATCATAATTTACATATAGGTTTCTTAAGTTCTTTCGAAAATTTTTTGTATTGTTCGAAATAAATCGAAGATAATTTCGAACAAAAATACGCAGAAAAAATTTTCTACGAAAAGAAAAACGTATTTCGTTTATTTATTTTTTCCCATCTTAGCTTGAACAACGAAATATTTTGAACACGTAATTCTCTAGCAATAAGTCAAGCATACTTTCAAATACTCGAGTAAAATTTTTCAAGGCCCTTGAAACCTTTTCATTTATTTTATCATACCAGTTCTACTTTCGAAACAAAAACTTCAATAAAGTCGACAAATTTCTTAATTAAAAAAATATACTCTACATATACGAGTACGTCAATAAATTGAACCCATCATCAAGCCATTATTAAAAAATGAAGAAGAGCGATTTAATTTCTTTAAAATTTTTTCCAAAACCTCTTATCCTTTTTTCCGCCAAAAAAAAGCTAATACATCAAGTGTCAGATCTAAATTTCGATCAATTCATGATCCTCGATTCTCAACATCTGGATGGCTCCCAAAGGCTGCATACCAGACGGCGCATCGTCGCGCTACTTTATCGCAAAATTCGTAACCAGATGCTCGAAGGCGATCTCGAGTAACCTTCGTCTGATCGTGGGCGTCGCTTCGACTCGCCACGAAACATTATTTTCGAACTGTACGGTGGGAAACCTCGGTGAAACCTAACTTTTCAAGCTGAGGGGACCATTGCGCAATCGAACGCACACAAACCACACTAATCAACTTTACAACGAAAAAAAATAGTTACAATATTTTACCAACATTTCTGTGCAAAATACATCCTGGAACTTTTACTATTTATATCATTATTAATAATACTATTTATTGAAAAAAATAATACAATTGTGGTATGCATGTGCACCATTGCACTTATAAGAAAAGTTCTACGAAAGTATCCTTTCCGCTATTCATCTTCTTCCTTTGAGAATTTTGTCTAACTGCACTGATAACTAAGTTACGACCTGGAACAGTTAACTGTAGATTATTCTGAAGAGTGGAAAATGCGAGGGAACGCACGGAGGCGACCATTATTCGCGCACGTGCAGAAGAGTCTCGCTGGCCGGCGCGTCGTGGCTCAGCAGACTCCGAAATGTTGATGCTAAATAAAACTCCTAGCTGGTTGGGACGATGCCATGCGTTCTAATTTTCACGAAGGCAGATCGCTAGCCCGGGACGTGGTCCGCCGCGTCGTTTCGAGCCGGATGATTCGATAGTCTTTCGAAGCTCTCTCCGGGTTACCTGTTCTTCGTGGCAAGGAGAGGGAAGTTTACACATAGATAAACGGGAAAACGTGTCTTTCGAGACCAAACAAGGAAAAATCGGTGTTAATTATAGAGAATCGTTTCGATAAACGAAGAAACTCGTACGCTTATGACGAGACACGGAAAGGTCGGTGACTATTAGAATCATTCACGGCGAAAAACAAAAAGATCTCTTTGAAAGTCCTTCAACATGAGCAATTGAAAAATTGGTGATAATTCGAGGAAATTCTTTCGATCAACAGAAAAATTGATCGTCTGATACGAGATACAAGAAAGCCCGTTTGCGAGTACTTTTATACGAAAGGCTGGCAAATTGATGACGATTAGAAACGATCGTTGTTGCGTCTATCCAAAAAAGTTGAATCGTTGCGGAACTCTAGTAATTTATTTACTTGGCTACTAATCCTTCTTCTCAAAACGAGAAAGTTGAGCAACCTGTGACGATTAGAAGAATTGTGTCAAAATTGGTGTGCGATTTACTCATCTAATTAAGATTTTCAAAATCTTCAAATTAAAAGGTTGATAAACTTGCGAAGATTAAGGAGAACTGTTACGAAATAGGTGTTTGTATCTGTAATTATAAGTGAAGAAAAGAAGCAAATTTTGAAGCTTCCAGTGGTGAATCGTGGGTTTTTCCATGCGAAGGTTGCGGTGACATGGCTGCCGCCCTTTTGGGCAAGTGCGTTGGATTACTGGCTCTGGTGTTGCTTCTCTATAGTTGTTGCTATGGCTTCCGTATTCGAGATCATCCATCGTCGACGGAGCAACCACATCGCGCCACCTGCACTTCCATCTTTGGCAGATGCCAGGAGAAGACGATCACGGCCACGTCG